CGCGCATGGCCTCTCCAGTTGGTTGAATACTCAAAGACTACTAATATAGCTGCGGTATGGCTCTACCACGTTACATTTCAATAATGATTCTAATGACGCACTAAACGGGAAACACAGGGTTAATTAACTTAAAACGTACAGTAAGCAGGTTAATTTTATATTTGCTTTACTATGCACTAGCTGATTCAGTCCTGAGTTATGGACTAATTGCATAATATGGACGTACTTTTCAAACATATACAGATAAAATTCTTAAGTTGCAAATTAGATTAATAACATTATTTATTGATGAAAAAAACAAAGAAAAAATATAACATTAACGGAAATTATAATAATTTATTTAAAAATTTTATAATATTACCTGTACATGTTAAATTTAAGTACTTAATTGCAATAGATCAATTTAAATCTCTAGAGTTAAAAACGTTTCGAACATGTAACAAAAATATTAGAATTACTTCGCGAAAGAAATGCGTTGAGGATAGAGTTAATAATTATTATGGCAAGAGGACGAGAAAATATCTAGTGCCAAGAATTTTCAATGAGATATTTTCTGAAAACGAATGCGGTAATAAAGAAATATTTAAAAAGAAGTTAAAAGCGTGGTGGCTGGATAATTATATGTAAAATAATTAATATTGTCTTAAAGCTATAGTTTTAAATTAATTTGTTATTTTTAATGTGTTTAATTTAAAAGATTTAAAATAAGTTTTAATTATTTTAAATCTTTTAAATTAGTGTAAATTGAATTTTCCTATTTTTAAGTTTTTAAGGATTGCATTTTAAATTACAGTTTATATGTATTTTAAATTCTTAAGGACCGTAGGTACATAAAATGTAAGAGGGTGATGTATTCGCCAACAAACTGTCCTGCAGTTTGGCGAAAGTTGTATAAAGAATAACCGACTGTATTTTTAAGTAATAAAAAAAATAAAAAAAATGTTACATGTTGTATATACATAAATCTCAGCTCGTCTTATCCGCTGGGTGTCTTGAAATATTACCGTCATCAACTGTGTGCTGATTTAAGCTGCTGTCAAAATGTCCCAAGAACTACGCAACTTGACGCATTAGCATGTTGCGAAGAGATTTTTCAACGTAATGCAAAACAGGCGAGGTCTAAGACTTTTGCCTGCCTTAATTGACAAATCGCAGCAACATTAAAACAAAACCAGGCTTGCTAGATACAGAATTCCGTTTGGGAATTCCGAATGTATTTTTTAAGGTTGGTCACATACGTTCAGAATCCCGTTTCGCCCGCAAAATCCTTGATTTTATATGGACTTGCTGCGTTCGGAATTCCGAAAGGGTAACTATTGTACGTAACTGTACATGTGTAACAGATCCTTGATTTTATATAGACTTCCGATTTTCGATTCGGGATTTGGTTTCAGAATCCCGAATAGGAATTCCGAAACAGAATTCCGTATGTATGTGGCCGACCTTACACTTGTTGGGCTTAGAGCGTAAAAAACCCAAAAATAGGACCTACATATATATATGGAATCCTGTTTTGCCCGCAAAATTTTGAACGGAAAATTACAGTAGGTGTGTGACGTGTCCTTGATTTCACATGGACTTGCTACTGCGAAACGGAATCCAGAAACGGAATTCCATATGTATGTGGCCGACCGTATAACATAAACCACTTGATTACGTCCGGCCACATATATACGGGAACGGGTCGGACACTGTGGCGCGCACGCCCTCCGGGTGTGCTCTGGCGAGGCCTGCAGGACGCAGCATTCAGAATCCAAAAATAGGCTCGAGCGCAATAGCGGCAAAACGGCCGCTCATGTCTCCGGACGAGCTGCAGCCCATGACGCAGCCCCTGAAACTGGATAGGTAAAAGAAGAAGGGAAGGACTATGGCCCCAGTCGCAGAGATTCCCACCTCAAAACCGATTAGGCAGGCGCTTGAGGAAGACTTACAGATATTTAAACTGGTTTGATGACCCCAAGGCTACCCTTAGAAATTATTGAGCATACGCGAGTAGCTATAAAGACGATTATTGGCGCTGTCTCTGGTCCAGGCTCCAAACTTAATAAATCAGAGATCAATAAAGTTTCGGCGACCAGGCAGGACTTGATTGCAATAGTGGCTGCAATGGAAATTTACGTAATGGACTCAACTTACTATGCAGAGCTGAGCGTCACAGATCTTATTCTGAGGCAAATCTGGCACACCACGAGGCCGCGCGTGCATTCTCAGGTGACGGGAATCACGCTCATGCTACTGGGCAAACGTTTACATCAATATTAAGTATGCTAAAAGGTGTGGCAGCGATGCCTATTCCGGAGAAGTCTAGTCCAGTCTTGGTATTCTATCCGGCAGGTGGACAGGAGCATCTGAAGACGGCGGATGATACAAGGGCGGAATTAAAAAAAAAGCAACAAATCCTTTGGAGATAAGTTTACAGATATTTAGAAAAATTGGTAATGCGGGATAGTGCTCCAGAACACGACCCAAGAATCTGCACACAAATGAAAATCAATCGCCAATGCTCAGAGTTACTGAGTTACTGCCTGCCCTCCATAATCAAAATTTTAGAGGTGACGAGAAATGGACCCTGGGAGGGTTAGAGAAAAATTGTAAGTTGGCGTTCAAAAAGTCGTGGAGGACCAGTCACAGGACTACTGTGGTGCTGCAGTGTTCCCCTGCTTTGAAGGACACGCTGAAAGCCTGAATGAGATTGTATATAGGGTGGGACGTGGTCGAACCATGTGATTTTGTACATGTCACCTGCTGCCAGCGATGCAAGCAGTACGGCCACCCAGCAAAATGCTGCAGAGCCAAAGAGGCAACGTGTGGCAAATATGGAGAGGAAGGCCATGCCAGGGAGGACTGCACTTCAGTTGATGTGTGTTGTGCAACTTGTAAACAATTTGGCAAGCCGTGTGCAAAGTCCCATGCCACGATGGCGAAGACGTGCCCGGCTAAGGTGTACGCGGAGGAGAAGGTGGTAAACACCACGCAATATGCTGATCGAAAACAATTTAACGATAGGTTAGCTTAATTTGGGACGGGGTGAGATGGCCACTAAAGAGCTCTCGGTACTTACCGGGAACCTGGGCCTGGATTTTATTCTAGTCTAGGAACAATGGCCACAGGCGCAGGAAATTATCAAGTTCAGCTAGAGACCGCAGGCCGGCATTAAGATCTTCAAAAATAGTATAGGTGTTGCTAGATTGCCACACTTCAGTAACCCCTGTTGCTTGGTGTGCCATGTGGATGTGGAGAAGTACGGTCTCTACGTCGTCACAGCACACTTCAAATACAGCGACAATATTGACCAACACTTGCAACATCTAGAGACCGTACTTGGCCAGTTGAAAGGCAAGCGCGTTGTAATCGGAGTGGATTGCAATGCGCACTTGTCACTCTCGTTCAGTGACGCTGAACAAGTTAAAGGCAGGGGCCACGAAGCAGCGTAAATCGAAAAGTTATGGAGGACTTTATAATGTCGCGGGAACTTGTGGTAGCGAACGTGGAAGGCCTACCGAGCACCTTTTCAGGGGTAATGAGGAAGTAGGACATAGATCTCGATGAAATGAGGAAGAAAGTATGTAGTGCGAGAAGGGAATGGCAGAAGACTAGAAATAAGGGAGGCAGGTCTGAGGAGTTAGCTATGGAACGTTTCCATAGTGTAAGATCGCGATATAGAAAGTGTATGGGGGATACTTAGATGGCCCATTTTAGGAAAATGTCGGAGATGAGAAATGCTGACCCATGGGGACGAGAATATCAGATTTCGAGCGGGAGATATCGTCCTCCCAGTAACGTTATAAATGCCACTGAGTACGCGGAGCGACACTCGGGTGGGTGTTCAAGGCCATGTGGGACCTGCTCGGGGCTCTGTGTCCGGACGATGATGCGTCCAAGCACACTGAGTTTCATGGGCGGGTGCATCTTATGGCCGCCTTCACTATATCGGCTGCCGTTCCTCCAACTACTGAGTGTCAGGGCGTTGGCCAACACTGCGACGGGACTGGACGGGCTTACTGCAAAAGTGCTTAAGAATGTGTGGAAGGCTGTGTGGAAGAGGGAATTATCCCGGATCCCGGAAGAATGGACGGTTGGTAGTAAATTCCGAAAGGTAACGGCAGGTCATTGATGGACCCCAAAAACGTATCGTCCGATTACGCTCCTTCGCATTTTTGGAAAAATATTAAAGCGGTTTTTGCTCCGATGTATCCCGAGCTTAATGAGGGGTATATCAGACTACCAGCGCGGATTTTCGCCAGGCCGGTCTACTGTCACAGCGCTGCAGGATGTGCTTCGTACTGTGAGCGAGTCACAGCGCAAGTATGTACAATCCCGAATCGGAATTCCGAAACAGAATTCCGTATGTATGTGGACGGCCTAAAAGACGAATCGAGTTGCGTATTTTTTATTTTACATTACATTAGTTCGAAAACCTTTGTGGAAAAACCACTATGTTTGAAATATTTACACTTGTTGGAATTAGATTCAATTTATATTAACTCTAATATATCAAAACATTAATCGAAATAATAAAATAACATTATTTCTCTAAAAACTTTTGTCGTGTCATAACTGTCGAACTATCGATAATTTCAAAACGAATTCCGTCAAACATCCAGTGTTGCCAGATCTAGAGGTTTTTCCTCAATCTAGGGGTTTTTGGAGGACGTTGAGGTTTTTTTAGAGGTTTTAAGTAGAAACTTTTTATTTTTCATAAATCTGATTCACACGAAACTTTACCGAATAAAAATTCAGAGGTTTTTTTTATCTCCCTGTATAGGGAAACTAGGGGTTTTTTGGAAAAATCTAGGGGGGAAGGTGAAAAAAATTTGGCAACACTGCAAACATCAAACAATGATTTGGCATCATTTTGTCAAGTTGAGAATAGAATTAGATAAATTTGATTTTCTCTAAATAATTATTTGTATTCTTGCGTTTTTAAAATTATATTTTGTTATTACTTTAATGCGCAACAAACTGTATATGACACTATTTTAATTATACTACACTTGCAGTCCGCACGACGTATTTCAAACGGTTAAGAGGTAAGCAGTTTGAACTTAGCGCTCTAGATTTTACCTAATTTTTATAATTTGTTATTTATATGTTGACATAGGTATTTATGAATTATATAAGTGATCATGATAATCTTAAATGTATTTCCTAAGAGCATTACTATATTACGACATAATTCGTTTATGTATACAGGTATTTGACCTAAATTTATTTGTCACATAATACAAAAATATGTTGTTTTCAATTACTTTATTAGAACATCATTAGAGCAATTCCAGTTATTTTTGCAAGAGTTATAGAAAGGGGTTATTATCATCTCTTTTTGCATGCCTATCATAGTTAACAAATTAAAATTATTACAGAATAATTATTTCAGGTTAGCCCCTTATTCTCTTACCTTTTTTGGTATTTGAATCTTTAGCAATGTATTAAATTAACATACTTAATAGTAGATTATTTCATTGTAATATATATACAATGAAATAATCTACATACTACTACATATATAATTAGTAAAAATATAGATTTAAAATTATATTTATGTGGTAATTTTCAAAAATTTTAATTATTTATTTTTGTATAACAAAAACTCAAGGGTGTTCCCACATAAATTTGTCCAAGATCTAATGATGGGATTCATTAGAAAATCATCATCCTCTTCAATTTGCAAAGGCATTTGCAAATTTGGATGGTTGATGTGGTGAAGAGATGAAATTCTTCACCACATCAACCAATTTCAATTGACAAATTCTTTTTAGTTCATTGAAGTTGGTTTTTACATTTATAATAATTTGTAATAGATTTTCCCCCATATTATGATGTGTTTTAAACACTAAAATTTCATATAGACCAAACCATATGGGAATTAAACATGAAACCCTATGGTATGGAGATTTCAAACATATGTGCAAATCAAGAATAAAAAAATATATTTGAAATGAAGTATTGAATTTTTTTTGCAGATTTAAGTACAATCTATGAAAAGTCACTATCAAGTACCAAGTTACTTACATAATAAGCTTGCAAGGAAAACTATGTTACATACTCTTTGCCAATATTTATTGAGCTCTTAAATAAAACATATTAATACATATTAACATGAGTTTGTTTTGCTCACAAGCTTAGGAATGAATGAAAAACCTTTAAGACTTTAATTTCATTAATTTAATCATACATGGTAAAGCCACGCTGCAACTATATTATGGTTGTAGCATAAATAGGTCGGCTCGACCGAGGAAGGACCACACTCTCAAAATACCACCTTAAAATAGCAGCTTAATAATGCTATGTTTTGTATGGTGAGTGTAGTGATCCAGAGACCCTTTTTTACTGGAAATGAGACATTCCATCTTAGTCCTCAGGGGTGACAATGCATCTGCGTTTTGATTCTTAATCTAGGATAAAACTAGATGTGTATGGGTCACAGCATCCACTTACCATCTGGTGGACTGTGTGCTCAAGCACCAAATGACAAACGATTGTCACCCTTACTCTATAAAATAAAATAAAAATTAACATTATTCATAATTCAACACACTTAGTTGGAATTAGTGTTCTTTTATGATTAATCAAATCTTATATTAGTTTAGTTTACGATGGGCTGTTTTATGCAACTCCACGTCTAAGCGCGTATTTTGCATGAAAAATCTTATATCTCAAATCTTATATAAAGACTGAAGCCATTTTTGACAGTGAACTTTGTTTTTATTTTTATTCAGCTATATGTTCCACTATGTGTGTTTTTATTAACCTTTAAAATCAAAGCGTATAATAGTTTCACAGTCCTATTCCTATTTTGTCCGCATGCACTTTCAGTAGTATTCAAAAGATCACAATAATCACTTAAATTTACAGTTTGCAGGATGTCAAGTTCCTCAGTGAATGTCAAGTTTCGCTGGGGCCTTACAACCTCGGATCCTGAACAGCAACCAGTCCTATTTGTAGGCCAAGCTTCACATCTCAACACATTGACATGGCAGGATGTCCGTTGCAAACTCGAACCCAGAGTCACAGAAGAGGTAATCAAATGTTTTCTGAGATAAAAGCTAATAACACTAATCACAATATTTCTGCCCACACACAAAATACAAGCTGGAATGGATGGAGCTGCAGAAAATAGTACGATGTAAACTAACTAACTAAGATTAATGCTATTTTGTAACTCTAGTGGGAATCCAGGTTGGCTTTAATTCCCACCAACTAATGATTCCTTCCGTAGGTACATAATTGCACTGCTGCAGAATTTCAATGCCAATGATGTGAGGATAAAATCTGTAATGAGCATATAAACTAAAGAATAAGAGCATCTAACATAGCTTAGCTATCAGCCTAATTCCACCGTAAAGTAAAAACCGTTAAAAAAGTAAAGCCGGCCATATCTACAACTGATGGTTCTCAAGTGGCAGCCCTAATATTGGCAAGCATAGTGTTGGGCAATCCATCACTAGATATAGTGACTACCTGATTAAACATGCAAGTATTTGTAGACTAAGAATTGGCCATGCTTACACACAAGTACATTTAGCCAAATTGAAGATCAGGGATAGCTCCCTCTGTGAATGTGGATTAGATGAGGGAACCACCAATCATTCTTTTAACTGTCCCAAATTACTTTATTCACTCTATGATAATTTCCCTCCTGACATCACTCGGCCTATAAATTTAACCTACACAAACACTGAATCTGTATATATTCTGTGTGATTTTATTAACACCAAAAGCATAAAACTTTAATGTTTGTCAATACTAACCTACTAAGGTAGCTATAACAACTGTGTCTGTCATTTGTCCGAGGTAATTCAACAGTCCAATCATTAGAATTCAAAAAATTGATTTAGGGAAATATAAGATACTTGTATTATCACAATCTTTTGTACATGGGCAGAGTATTTGTATCTGCTGAGCTATCCTACTCAATAAACACTTTGTAACTGACATTGACGAATGATCAAAACCGCCATAAAAAAGAAAGAAGAAGTTGCGTGTTAGGAGGAAGTGAGAGATATAAGTGTCGTGCCTTTTTTGCTTAAAATTTATTGTTTTATTAAGTGTTTACCATAGTAAATTTTTCTGTCTTGGTGGAGGTTTTAATATCTGTAAATTAGTAAGTGTTTGTAGTTGTGCCGTTTTTATGTAATTTTTTGTTGTAGTAATATAATGGAGGACGAACCTCCCGATCCCGGAAGGGTTCGCAATGATTCCTTTTCCTTACCCACTAACATTGATAATGTAGAATTAATTAAACGTAAACGTGCCCAAGTAAGTAACGAGTCTGCCCATCCACAAAAAATAGTTATTACCGATCCAAATCAACAGTTTCCTTCAATACAATCCTCATATACCCATCCTGATTTTATTAATAAAAAAGTTAAGTACTCTCAAGATGATGCCGCTCCTTTTCTAGTTCACGTAAGTAAAATCTCAAATGATCAGCTGTCTGGAGTAACTCTTAAACCAATTAAATTCGGCCACTTTCTGTATCATAACAATATTAAAAATATAGTCCATGATGGAGTCAAAAAAGTTGGACGAAATAGAATATCCGTGGAGTTTAAATCAGCTGCAGATGCAAACACCTTTATCGATCACCCAGCTCTCCAAATTTCTAAATATGAAGCAACCTTCTGCTCATATAGTATCACGCGTATGGGACTAGTTAGACAAGTTCCCATAGAGTGGACACTAGAAGAATTAATAGCAGCTATAGAAATTCCCTCTGGATACGGTTCTATAATTAAAGCACGGCGACTTAATAGACGATCAGTGAGTGACAGCAATAGCGTTTCATGGGTTCCAACTCAGACGGTTGTTCTAACTTTTTGTGGACAAAAACTTCCTCCCCATATTTACTGTTTTTACACCTCAATGCCAGTGGAAAAATATGTTTTGCCACTAATTCAGTGTCATAAATGCTGTAGATATGGCCATGTTACTTCCCAGTGCCGATCATCTCCTCGCTGCTTTGTATGTGCACAGAATCATGAAGGTTTATCTTGTACTCGACAAACTCCTACTTGCCTATTCTGCTCTGGTCCCCACACCGCAAAAGACCCTACATGTCCTGAACATCTAAGGCAAAAATCTATTAAACTTGTTATGTCACAAGAAAATATTTCATATTTAGAAGTTTCAGCTAGATTCCCTCAGACAAAAAGATCCTTTGCTGATACAACAAGAATCCAGCCTCGTAATTGTTCTCAACAGACCCCTTATACTATAACTGACAGTCTTTCAACCCCTTCGGCTCAGCTCTCACAAACTGCATCATATAAAAAAACAATTTTTATCCCTCAACGTACCCGCAGCCCACCATTAAATTCTGGATATGATATGGCAGCCCATCAAGCAATTGTTGAGAATCCTAATTCTTCCCTTCCTAATGGGTGTGCTCTACTGGGAAATGACAACAACTCCTCTAGTAATGATAATTTCTGCGAACTTATGATATCAATTCTAATTAACATGATCTCCCGTTTTAGTGACACGGAACTTCCTCTCAGCTTACACCAAAAACTTACTCAGCTTTCCTCCTTAGCCCGTAACATTCGCAGTCCCGCCAATTCTTCAATGGAATTGTCGGAGTATTAGAAATAAAAAAAATGAACTCATTTACCTCATTAACAAATTTCATCCCTTCATTCTTGCCGTCCAGGAGACATGGCTTAGGCCTGAATCTCATTTTAGGGTTTCAGGCTATGCATGCCTCCGGGATGATAGGAGTGATGGTCGTGCTGGCACCTCTATTTTAATTTCAAGAACTGTTACATTTTCACAAATTCCTCTCCCTTCTCATAGTCCAGCAGTAAATGCTGTTGCTATTAAGGCCCTTGATGTCTCTATTCTCTCTGTTTACATTCCTAATCCTGATGTAAATGTTTTAACAGAACTTGCAACACTTATCTCTTCTCTGTCACCTCCTATGGTTATTTTGGGAGATTTTAATATGCATCATACTGTTTGGGGCTCCCATCTGTGTGATTCACTGGCTCCCTTATTTTTAGATCTTATTGATAATTTTAATCTCTGTATTCTAAATAATGGGTCTCCTACCCGTCGAGTATCCCCATTACAAAATGTTAGAAGTGCCGTTGACCTAACTCTCTGCTCTCCAGATATTGCTTCCCTTCTTTTGTGGCAAATATTACCTTCTAGCTATGGCAGTGACCATTTTCCTATATTCATCACTCCTCCTACTTCACCTAGAATAAATTTTACATTTTGCCCAAGACTAAAGTATAATCTATCCAAAGCTAATTGGCAATTATATTCTAAAGTCTTGGAACAAGAGGTTTCAACTCTTCCCCCAATTAACAATGATAATATTGCTACTGTATATATAGAGTTCAGAAATGCAATTATTTCTGCTGCTAATAAGTCAATCCCCTTAAAAAAAACCTTTCAAAAATAATTATCCCTCCCCCTCCTTGGTGGGACCAAGATTGTTCAGCAGCTTGTAGGAGAAGAAAAGAGGCTGAATTAATATACTCCCGTTCTATGACTGCAGAGAATTATATCTCTTATAAAAAAATTGCTGCAGAAACCTTAAAATTACTGTCAGACAAAAAGCGAACTGGTTGGTTTAAATTCTGTGAGTCACTGTCACCTAGGACTCCCCCATCTTTGGTCTGGAGAAATGTTAAAAAATATCGCTGTGCAGTTTCTAGTGAAAATATAATTTCTAATGATCATTCCCCGTGGATAGATGAATTCTCTAATAAACTTGCACCACAAACAGTCCCATCTTATGATGAATGCCTAGTTTTTAATTCTGCTTTTTTAAAAACAAATGATAAATTTGATTCCCCCTTTTCTTCTCAGGAATTGTTTACTGTACTCAATGGCCTTAAAGACTCCTCATCAGGTATTGATGGGATTCCTTATTCGTTTATAATTAATAGTAGTGAGAACACTAAAACTGTCTTACTATCCATTTTAAATTTTATTTATATTACTGGTGATCCTCCTGCTGAATGGAAAACCCAAATTATTTTGCCCATTCTCAAACCAGGTAAGTCTAGCAATGACCCTTCCAGTTACCGACCTATTGCCCTATCTTGTACTTTGGCAAAAATCTTGGAACATTTAATAAAAAATCGCTTGGAGTGGTTTTTGGAAAGGAATAATCTCTTACCTAAAAGCCAATTCGGTTTCCGAAAAGGTTTAAGTACCATGGATAGCCTAAGTACCTTGGTCACAGATATTCATATTGCCTTCTCAAAACATGAATTTCTCATAGGAGTTTTCTTGGATATTTCTTCTGCATATGATAATGTGCTTCTTCCTGTGCTCAGGCAGAAAATGCTTAATCTGAGCATTCCAGTGAGGATAGTCAATTACGTCTCTAACTTTCTCTCTTCTAGATCAATATCTATAAATGTTAAAAATCTCCTGCTTCCCCCAAAAACTATATGGAAAGGACTTCCACAAGGCTCAGTTCTTAGTCCTCTCCTTTATTCTATATATATACTCACGATTTAGAACTTTCAGTAAATTCTTTTTGTAATGATCTTCAATATGCAGACGATTTAGCTCTATACATCTCCTCAAACAACTTCACAGTGGCATGTTCCCGTCTAAACTCATCCATGGATTATTTACAAGAATGGTTAACTAATCATGGCCTCTCTTTATCTGTGGCCAAGAGTAGTGTGGTGATCTTTTCCCGCCAAAGGCGAGTTCCCGATATATCTGTTGTATATGATAAGCAACCTATTCCAGTTAGAGGCAACGTTAAATTTTTGGGAGTTATCCTTGATTCGAAATTGGCCTTCGGTCCATACATTGAATATATAACACAAAAATGCGAAAAAAACATAAATATTCTTCGGTCTTTGTCAGGTGTTTGGTGGGGGTCCCATCCTTTTTCTCAGAAATTACTGTACAATGCTTTAATACGAAGCCACCTTGACTATGGATGTTTTCTGTTGGAGCCTTGCAATAAATCATCCCTTAAAGTAATGGACAAAATTCAATCGAAATGCCTTCGCATTATTACAGGGGCAATGAAATCCTCACCAAT